TCTTGCCATCCATGCCTCTAAAAAGCATTCTGGCTGTACTTCTACCAAGACATATTTGTTTGTTCTCTTGCCAGTGTATGGTACAGTCAGTATTTTTGCTGGCACCATAATTCAAATGCGTCAATTCTTCTTTGATCTTCCTTATTCAATGTCCAACTTTCACATGCGTATAAGGTGATTGAAGATTGAAAATACTGTGGCATATGCACCTCCTCAAAGTTAGCCTTGCTTTTTCAAAAATTTAAAGAGGTCTTGTGCAGCAGATTTACCCAGCACAATGCATTGTCAAATTTCTTAACTTGCATGAACATTGATTATGGAACCAAGCAAGACAAAATCCTTGACAACTTCAGTCTCTTCTCCATCTATCATGATGTAACCTACTGTTTCAGGTGTGAGACTTTTGTTTTTTTCCACACTGAGTTGTAGTCCATACTGAAGACTGCACTTCTTGATCTTCATCAGCAAGTGCTAAAAGTCTTTCCTACTTTTTAAACAAGCAAGGTTGTGTTTTCTGTGTATTACAGGTTCTTAATAAGACTTACTCCAGTCTTGATGCTGCATTCTTTTGTTTATAATCCAGTTTCATAAATATCTCTTAGGTATGGATCCAAGTTCACTTTGGTTGCCACATTACAAAAAAAAAAAAGAAATGTATTATTGTGAATTGGGTGAAGCTTCAGAGAGGAAGTCAGTTTTCTATTCAACAGTTCATACATATTTTGTTTGTCGTTGACTTCAATCCCAACAATTTAGCATCACATTTCCCAGTACCTCCCAGGGTTTCCCATTTTTATACCTCCTCCTTTTCTAATCTTTGATCTCATATAGTTGATTATTCTAAGGTTTACTTTCCTCCCTGGTGTTATTGTTCTCCTTTCAGGCTTTTCTATGGTTAGAACGAAAATTGAGCCAAGGGGGTGAGTTTATTTCCAGACTCAAATCTGTGACTAAGAGCCAAAATTCCAGGGGTTTCATCAGTCTGATTCTGACCAGGTCTTACGATTTTGAGTTTTATTTTATACCTTTCTCCTCTTTCTCGAGGACCTTCTATTATGATGCCTTTCAGAGCAGTTGGGAGCGGTAAACTGTTGTTTTTGTTAGGTGTCATCCAATCGGTTCCAACCAATAGTGACCCTGTGCACAATAGAAAGAAATGTTGCCTGGTCTTGTGCCATCCTCACAATTGTTCCTATGACTCAGCCTCTTATTGCAGCCATATGACAGCCCATCTCCTTGAGAGCCTTCCTCTTTCCCTGTCCCTCTGCTTTACTAAGCATGATGTCTTTCTCCAGGGACAGATCTCCTGACAACATGTCCAAATATATGTAAGACCATCTCTCCATCCTTGCCTCTAAGGAGCACTCTGACCGTCTTTTTTCTTAAATCATTTTATTGGGGACTTGTACAACTCTTACCACAATCCACACATCCATCCATTGTGTCAAGCACTCATACATTTGTTTCCCTCATTATTCTCAAACATTTGCTTTCCGCTTGAGCCCCTAGTATCCGCTCCTCATTTTCCCCCTCCCTCCCGCTCTCCCTCCCCCATGAACCCTTGATAATTTATAAATTATTGTTTTGTCATATCTTACACCGTCTGATGTCCCCCTTCACCCACTTCTCCGCTGTCTGACCCCCAGGTAAGAGGTTATATGCAGATCCTTGTAATCTGTTTCCCCCTTCTCCCCCACCTTCTCTTCATCCTCCCGATATCGCCATTTTCACCACTGGTCCTGAGGAATTAATCTATCCTGGATTCCCTGTGTTTCCAGTTCCCATCTGTACCAGTGTACATCCTCCACTCCAGCTGGATATGTAAGGTAGAATTGGGATCATGATGGGAGAGGGGGTGGGAGTACGGGGAAAGAAGCATTACAGAACTAGAGGAAAGTTGTATGTTTCATCATTGGTACACTGCACCCTGACTGGCCCTTCTCCCCGTGACCCCCTCTATAAGATGATATCCAGCTGCCTACAGGTGGGCTTTGGGTCCCCACTCTGCACTCCCCTCCCATTCACAGTGATATGATTTTGTTCTTTGATGCCTGATACCTGATCCCTTTGACACCCCGTGATCACACCAGCTGGTGTGCTTCTTCCATTGGACTTTGTTGTTTCTCAGCTAGATGCTGGCCTTATTTCTTTGAAGACAGATTTGTTTGTCCTTTTGGCAGTTCATGGGACTTTCAAGATTCTTTGCCCCATCACAATTCAAGTGAATCAATTCTAATTTTGGCCTTTCCTGTTAGATGTCCATATGTCCACTGCATGTGAAAGTTGGACATTGAATAAGTAGTAACCTAGCATTAGCTAATTCTTCAGTCTTAAGTTCATGGATACTGATGGGCAGTTCATTAATCCATTGGACTTAATTGTTTTTATGGATTTTCAGTTTTTTTCATTCTTCTTGAGAACTGGAAGAGACCAATAATTGCACCTTAGGTAGCTGCTTATGAGCCCTTAATTTCTAGAACATTGCCTTTGAACGACCCAGAGTCATTGCTAACAAGGCATTTTCCCCCATTTATGGATTCAGCACCTATGTAAAAAATTATTGACCATAGATTTATTTCTGGAGTAGCAATTCTATTCTATTGTTTCATATATTAAGGGGCTTCAAAACCATGTAGAAAAATTCTGATTTCTTTTAATTCCATTTTTCACTATTGTTGAAGCCCACTCATCATTATGCCAATGCTTTGACTATTATAATTTTTTAGTACCTTTTAAAATTGCGAAGTGGTAACGTTGCTCTTTCCAAGATTGTTTTGGCTATTTGCACCCCTTGCATATATGAATTTGAGAATTGGCTTTTTTCCAATATTGTAAAAAGGATGCTGAAATATTGTGTGGGTATGTTAAAGACACAATCTATACTCGATTATTGTTTTTAAAAAAATATTGTTACTGGCAACAATATCTACTGTGAAGCATCTCTCCTTTTTTTAAAGTCCCTCAAACAAAACTACATTTTGATTTTGAAACTGGAAAATAACATTCTGCTTCATTTCACAGACTGGGTTAGCCCTTTCTGTGTAAATTTCAAACAAAATCTTTCTCATTTACTAACTAAAGTTTAATTATCTTCCACCAGACGGTCTGCCAAATCCCGAAGCAGAAGCCCATATTCATCTAGGCATTCGAGATCTCGTAGCAGACACAGACTCTCTAGATCCAGAAGTCGTCATTCTAGCATTTCTCCTAGTACACTAACTCTGAAGAGTAGTCTGGCAGCTGAATTGAACAAGAATAAGAAAGCACGAGCTGCAGAGGCTGCAAGAGCTGCAGAAGCAGCAAAGGCTGCAGAAGCAGCAAAGGCTGCAGACGCTGCTGCTAAAGCTGCAAAAGCCTCAAACACGTCTACACCTACTAAGGGGAACACTGAAACTGCTGTCAGTGCATCACAAACAAATCATGTGAAGGATGTGAAGAAAGTTAAAACTGAGCACACACCTTCTCCCTCAAGTGGTGGAACTTTAAAAAATGACAAGGCAAAAACAAAGCCACCTGTTCAGGTAACAAAGGTAGACAATAATTTGATTGTAGATAAAGCCACCAAGAAGCCAGTTGTAGTTGGGAAGGAGAGTAAATCTGCTGCTACAAAGGAAGAACCCATATCTCTTAAAGAGAAAACCAAACCACTTACACCAAGCATAGGAGTCAAGGAGAAGGAGCAACATGTGACTATATTGACCTCTACATTACCACCATTACCTTTGCCTCCCATGCTGCCTGAAGATAGAGATGCTGATAGGTAAGTTCAAAACTTTTTTGTCACTAATTGTTTTAATATGTCTTAAATTTTTAAGTTGAATTGAGAAATTACTGGATTCCCCTTGCCCAAGGTCCAAACTTCAGTAAAAGTGAATTAATTTATTTTATACATCTTAAAGCACATTGTCTCCAGGATGAGAGTTATAGTTCATGCTATAAGAAATTTAGCAAAGATTGTCTGTTACCTGGGATAAAAATACATAATTTCAAAATTAGTTTTGTCAGGCACTAGACATTCCAGTATTTTCTTTTTATTAGTTGGAATTTAATACTTATATTATTCCATATTTCAATCATGTCAATTAGAATTGTACAATTGCTACCACAGTCAGTTTCCAAACATTCTTTTTCTACATGAACTCCTTGACTTCATCCCCCTTTTACCCTACCACTGTACCCCTCCCCCTTCAGTATTTTCCTTAGCTCAATATTCCTTGATACTAGCAAAGATGGGGCATTTTATGAGCTGCATGGCTACAATTTTATAAGCATGTATCTAGGTTTCCTTTGTAACCCTACCAGCTTACCACCTTTTCTTGGCTTTATCACTTTATTTATTTTGCTTTTCTTTAACATGCTTAAAATTACTTTTGGAAGTAAATTGCGAATAGAAGGGTATGGTTAAGGTAGGAGACATACTTTAATATTTTAGTGCTGTTATGAGAAATGTAATTTTGTCAATGAACTGTATAGAATATTTAGTTTTATTTCTTAGTTGTACATCTTACTATTCTTATGAGTCCTGTCTATTCCTTGTTATGACAATAGCTTCATGGTGAAACTTAGCATAAAGGTAATTCTTAAAAGGAGAAAACAATCACATTTTTGCTTTGCCACTTCTCCATCATTTCTGACAGTACCTGCCCACATGACTCTCTTATGTCAGCGGTCTCAACCTGTGGGTTGCAACCCCTTTGAGAATCAAACGACCCTTTCACAGAGGTCACCTAAGACCATCGGAAAATACATTTTTCCAATGGTCCTAGGAACCAAGACATCGCTCTTCTATCCGTCTCCAGGCAGGTCCGCCCACATGCAGATATGCCCACATATAAGTACCCGGCGTGAAGACTGTTATCCATGCTATACCATGCTTCAAGACAAAATTTCATTTATTTGTAATTAGAAATAAATATTTCACAATATATAGTTATATATTGTTTTTGTGATTGATCACTATGCTTTAATTATGTTCAGTTTATAACAATGCAAATACATCCTGCATATCAGATCTTTACATTATGATTCATAACAGTAGCAAAATATTAGTATGAAGTAGCAATGAAAATAATTTTATGGTTGGGAGTCTTCACAACATGGGGAACTGTATTAAAGGGTTGTGGCATTAGGAATGTTGAGAACCACTGCTCTATGTCCTTAGCCATCTGTGGCTAGATCAGATCTGATAAGTTAAGAGGGGACTATCTTAGGTTAGTTAATACTCTGAGATGACTCAATTGAACTCACAGAAGATATTATACTTACAACTGCTGGTTTTATTAAAGTACTATAAATCATAAGGAAGGGGACTGCACAGGTTAGGCCTGGGAAGTCTCCCAATGCAGAGATATACTGTGACTCAGGGCAAGTCCGTCCTCTCTTGGCCAACTGAGCTTTATTTTCTGAGCTTTAGTGTTCCCGGTTTTTACTGACCAGTCCTGCATGATAGGCTCCAGTCTTGCCTCCCAAGGCTAGTTGTCTGCCAAAAGACGGTGCTCCTTTGTGGCAGGAACTGGATCTTATTATGGATGTTAAATCTGTTGTGCTATGTACAATATATAGAGCAGTGAGTATTTTTCAAATCTAGAAACCAGTTTCTTTTTGAGCATATTTTTCTTGTTAAAGAACCAGCTTTAACATGGAATTTTGAAGAATGACAAATTGTATTAATACTCAGTTTTTATTTTAGTTAGTATATCTATTTGTTTTACAGCAATACTAATGTTAAACATAAATTTAAAAGATGATAATTAAGATTAAATTATTTCCATTGATAACATCTTTAGTGATTTTATAATAGCTGTGCAGTGTTACTAAATTTCTTCATGGGGCTCATAACTGCTCTAAAATTTTGGAAGTCTAAATTTTATTCTCATTCTAGTACTTTCAACACGTCAATATTACCAGGTTTTATAATGTTACGGAAGTTTAAAATAATCAATTACCAAGCTAAGGTATAGTTTAAAAATCAGAACTCATATGCATTTTATTAAAGTTACAAAACTGTACTTGAGCTGTAATAATTACTCACCTGTAATTATACTGCTCTGGAGTTCATTCTGACTCCTAATGACTCTGTAGGACATGATAGAACTTTTCCATAGGGTTTCCAAGGCTCAATAAGGAGCCTTATGGCACAGTGGGTAAGCAAGCTCTTGACTGCTAAATTATATGCTAACCAAAAGTGTGTTGTTCAAACCCACCAGCTGCTCTGGAGGAAAAAGATGTGGTAGTCTACTTTTGTAAAGATTTATGGGGCAGCTCTCCCATGCCCTAAAGGCTACAGGGTTACTATGAGTTGAAATTTAACTTGTTGGCAATGTAGTTTTAATTTTTACAGAAAGAGATTGCTACATCTTTCTCTCACAAACTAGCTGGTGGGTTCAAAATGATAACCTTTGGTTAACAGCCAGCACTTAACACCTACACCACCAGGGTTTGTTAATAGTAAGCTAGAGCCTTATAAACATTTTGAAAGGATCATGGTTCAAGTCAGAAAAATTAATTAACACTATGAACAAATGAAGCATTATTGGTTGTGTGTGTGTGTGTTTACTTGTTTATTTAAATGGCCACGATATATAATATTATGTGGTTTTGGTTTTTTCTTATGAAAAACAACTTCTCTTTACCAGAATCAAATCAAATGTTCTAAGATGCCTTCCAGTTTTTATTTACAGCTTTGTAATACATCTGTATCATTTTATAAAATCAACTTTATGGTCTGGAGCAGTGTTATGTTTACAGAGAAATTATGAAGATACTACAGAGTCCCAAACACCTTGCACCCAATTTTCCCATTGTTAACAGTTTCCATTGGTAAGGTATATTTATTAAAATTAATGAACCAGTGCTGATACAGTATTAATAGCTAAAGTCTGTGTGTGTTTTGTCCAGATTTTTGTTAGTTTTAATGTAACTGTACCATTTCAACCCATAAATTATGCATTTTCCAATAGACTGTAATACATTACTTTAGTGGAATATAAAAAAATACATAGTGTTAAGCAATGTGAAATACTGCTGAACATTCCCTGCCATTTCATGCTATTAAAATGTAAGACCTGTCACATTTGTATTTCTTAACAAAGTGTTTATTTGTATTTTATTTGTCTTATTCCTCTCTCTTGTTTTTTTAGCCAACGAAATATTTCAGTGAAAGCTGTTAAAAAAGAAGTAGAAAAGAAACTACGGTGTCTACTTGCTGATTTACCACTGCCCCCTGAGCTGCCAGGAGCAGATGAGCTATCCAAGAGTCCAGAGGAGAAGAAAGCAACAACGCAGTTACATAACAAAAGGAGACCTAAGTATATGCTTACTTTCTACCTGCTCTTAGTTTCTCAGAAATGCTTGTGGAAAACTGAAATTAAGATTTAAAGTAATAAAACATAATATATGAATATATTCTTTCAGTGTTTTGAAAAAAAAATCATAATTGCTTACATAATCTATTCACATCATCTAATGAAATTAAACTTTCTGCCACAGGTTATAATGTATTAATTTATGGGTTTGCTGCTTATGTTAAAGTTAATTTTTAAAAGATGTTTAAGTTATTTAGGAGCACTGATATTGGGCGAAGTAGAAGTTCGCTTTCAGTGAGCCCAAACAAAAATGCTAATGGGAAAGCTACTATGTTTTCCTTTACTTTTGGCTCAATTCCCCCCATAATTCATTGTAGTCTATTTTGCAAGATGTGGAGAAGAAGATTTGAAATATATGTCTTAAATTAGCCTCAAGTTAAGTAAATATAGAATGCTTTGTCCTGAAACCAGTTTGTTCATTATCAAACTTCTTTCGTAAGCAGATGTATGTATATATCGACACATATTTCTATACTTGTATACATAGGTGTTGTAGATGAATAACCATTCAGTGGATAATTAAACATTCTAGAGGTACATTAGAAAACTCTGGCTTTTACTATTAATATTGAGTCATGTGTGCTCCACTAATTCCTTCTCCCAATTTAAGCTGCTATGTACAGAACAAGAGTCAGCCTAGGTATCAGTCAGCTACTGATAAAGTGGCTCTCATGCTGTAATACCAAATCACATTTTGCGTAAATAATCGTGCACATACAAGGATGATGGGGAAAAGTAAAGGATCTAAGATTGAGAGGAGGGGTGGAAGTTGTTAAATACTTTATTTAATTTACTTGATTGTATATAAAAACTTCAGTACTATATTTACTAGAATATGTGGGCCTCGCTATGGTGAAATCAAAGAAAAAGACATTGACTGGGGAAAACGCTGCGTGGATAAATTTGATATTATTGGAATTATTGGAGAAGGTACCTATGGACAAGTTTACAAAGCCAGGGATAAAGACACTGGTAAGAATGCCAAGTACTCTGGATTTTGGGGCATGTGGATGTATTTACTCTATTTGTGTTTGTTTTCTAAAGAAAGCATATTAAGACTGTTTTAAAAACAAAAGTCAACTAAAATTCTCATGCTTTTTAATCTTGTTTTTTATTTTATTTTGCATATCTACTTAACGTGAAATAAGCAGTACATATATATTATTTCAAAATGGTCTTTTAGAATTTATGATGTTTTTGGTAGGATTTAGATTTTTAGGAATAATTCTTATATTTCTAGTAGTCATAGGGGAAGGTGGATCTTAACCAATTGAATTAATCTTAGTAAATAATTTTTGTTTAAGACTTCTTAAGATTGAATTTGTCTAAAAAACCTGTTTCTGTAACGAAAAAAGGTTTTAGCAGCTTTTATTTGGAGACCAGGTTTAGCAGTTTAATCTTTCAGAATATAATTAGCAACCTAGATGTAAGTTTAAAGGTTGTATTAGAAGAAAATGTAACTTCATAGACTGTATACTTTAATAGATAATACGCAGAGTGGGTTAAGTATTAGTCATGATTCCTTATAGAAGCCATTAATAGGTTAAAATAGCAAAGCTGTTTGAAATAATTTAGTCAAGGGAGATAATCTTATGTTTAGAGACTCCTGAAGAAAGTCACAGTATTGATCCTGATGATTTTGTGCTAGCAAAAAGAGATTTAATCATAACCATTAAATTTTTAATAAAACAAATCATATTGTAGACAGATTTCATTAAAATGGTTTATTTATTTTATTTTTTAATAGTTTTCTTTTTATGTGTAGCTTATTTACTCTTTAGATTTTGTTTTACATAAAATTCACTCATAGCTAAATTATGAAGCATAATTATGGTTATACATTGGGCTACTAACTCCAAGGTCAGCAGTTCAAAACTACTAGTGGCACTTCAGGAAAAAGAGCTTTCTACTCCCATAAAGAGTTACAGTCTTGGAAACCCACAAGAACAATTTTACCTTGTCTTATGTGATCACCGTAAGCTGGCAACACATTCTTTTGAGATAGCTGGGAAAAGTTTTGAATCTCAGTATGGACTACTAGGTAACTGGGCAGCTTTGGGAAAGGTAATATGCCAGGGCTAATTTTTTTAACTTGCTAAATGTACAGTGTTATTTTTATGCATATGTAAGCATCTTGGTATATTTTATTTCCATTATTAAAAAAGTGGTAGTATAATATAATCTTTATTATGTTGGAGAACAACAAAATAATACTGCATATGGCCTATTTAAAAAAAACAGATTTTAATGATTAAAACCAAATAGCTCATATGCAGTATTATTTTGTTGTCTCCCTTCACCCATGTTTCTGTTCGTTACCAGGGTGTATGTGTGTAGGGTGTTATACATTGATCATGGCAATCGGTTCCCCCTTTCTCCCCTGACCTTCCCACTACCCTCATGGTAGCGCTACACACGTTATGGTTCCTGCAGGGTTTATCTGTCCTGAATTCTGTTTGTCCAGAGCTCTTATCGGTACTAGTGTACATGCGCTGGTCTAGCAGATTTGTAAGGTAGAACTGGGGTCATGATGGGGGTGGAGGTGGGGAGGATTAAAGAACAAGAGGAATATTGTATGTGTTGTCGGTGCTATACTGCACCCTAGCTGGTTCACCCCTTCCTTGTGGCCCACCTGTGAGGGCATGCATATGACCTATTTTTAAAAAAATAACAGTTAATAGTATTTAATTATTTGGATAAAAATCCCATAACCTAAATAACAGACAAGTTTGAACATCAAATATAATATGATTTGTTGGAAAATATATTTTATAGGTTGTAATTTGAAGAGTTAGGAATAAGTTATGAATTAAAATAAGAAAAAATAATCCAGCTTGTAGTAACCTAGTTTTATTTACTTTCCTATTAGGAGAAATGGTAGCCTTAAAAAAAGTACGTCTAGATAATGAAAAGGAAGGCTTTCCAATTACAGCAATTCGAGAAATTAAAATTCTTCGGCAGCTGACCCATCAGAGTATTATCAATATGAAGGAAATAGTGACAGACAAAGAAGATGCCTTGGATTTTAAGAAGGACAAAGGTACGTGCTCATAGTGAAATAACCAATGCTCTAACTACTTACAGGGTTACAGATACCATGTGAGTAATCAGTTACAAAAAACTTTGCTGACCTAATATTAAAGAATTACTTTTCAAACCGTAAAATGATTTTCTATGTAATGTTTTCTGCATCAACTAAGCATATTTACCAATATTATGCAAAAATATTCACTAGTACTATTTGTTCTTTCTAGCATCAATATACTTTTACTCTTCATAGTGATTGAGAAACAATTGATAGTATGCCTTCTGGTTTTTAATGTTATATAATGCCTGAATGTACAAGGAAACTTCATAGTAGGAATATATATCATATCTAAAAATAGGCAAAAATCTTACTTGAAATTACCTCTGACAAATTTTAGTAGTACTGTATGTAATTGGCTTTCATCAGAAAGCTGAAAAGAAATTTGCTTGTTTAATAAAGTACCATATATACTCGAGTTTTACAGCACGTTTTTTTCCCTCCAGCACATTTTTAATGTTGTTTTTGTGGTAAAATTAGGTGCCTCAACTGATGCTCGGGTTGGCTTATACTCAAATATATATGGTACTTATCATAGGGCATAGAATATGGGCAAATGAGTGAAAGCAGAACTCTACTTGCCAGTATGTTTTAGATCTTTAGAGTAAAATTATAGAACTAGAGTTGACTTTACTTAATAATCTGTGGCTTTCAAACCTCAGAATTTAAACTAAGTCCAATATAGAACATAAACGTAGCTATGTCCATATTGAAGAGAGTACTTAGCCTCCTCTTCCTATAATTCTGCCCTTTGCCCCAATCATTTTTCTCTCTCCCTTTCTCCCAATACTACTTTTCTGGAGAATATTGTTTGAAATTGGTATCATATATAGTAATTGTTTTGACTTAAGCAGCTGGTTTCTGTATATAATATAGAAATAGCCAGAATACTTTTTTTTTCTTCTTCCAGAATACTCTTAAATGTCATTTCAATCAATTTTTGTGCTGCAAAGCCTGACATTTAAAAATCTAACTTTGTCTTTTAACCTCATCTTTTAATTCGTGTTTTATATTAGAAAGCATATCGGTTTAACTTGGGTTAGAATGTCTGGAAACGAGATGTAGTTTATTAGCCTGTGACCTTATGTGCAAGACCAATAGCCTTTTAAGATCTTATCTCTATCCATGGAAGGAAAAGATTATTCCTCTCATTGTTTTATAAGAATTAAATTAAGACCTTAATAGGTGACAGTGGTGTGCACATGTTATTTTTTTCCCATTAACCTAGTTCTCCAGTGAAATTGGCACATTTGTTTTTCTTTGGTCTTACCAGGAACTCCTGCTTTTTTGAACTATTTGAACAGCTCCCTGATGACTTCTTTAACACACGTATGCCATTTTCCTGTTGGTTCATCACTCATAAGTCACATCAACCTTTTGGGTCTTAAAATATTCCAGAACTCTTCTTCTCCCCTAAAAGTCTTTATACATGCTATTTCTATTAATTTCAATCCCTCTCCCCACCCCCCAATTCACTTACTGTCCTCTCATGATTGTCATCTGCTAGGTTTCAGCCCGATGCCACTTTATTTATTAGTGAGACTTTTACTAAATAAGCATTCTACTTGTTACCACATATCAAGAGATAACACAACTTTAAAGGCCCTAGTCTTTTTTTTCTATAAACTTTTCCATGACTAAAAATAGTTTCATTGGCTTATTTACTTATTTGTCTACATGAGTATGGGAACCAAACCTGTTTTATTTTTTCTTACATACCTTTCACATTTAGTAGCTCAAAGACGAGACCACAGAAAATTCTGAGTAATAATTCCTGAATTAATAAATGAGTTCTACGTAGTATTACTAGGATAAAACTATTAACTATATAAGGAACATAGCATAAATTCATTGTTAAAAGTTAGCTCTATTTTAAAAAGCAAAAATTTCTCATGGAGATTTAAGATATATATATATTCTAAAAAGCACCTCTGCATTAGTATAATCAACAAAAGGGCAGAATTTATCCAATTCAGAGGTTTAGGAAAGAAGAAGAAATGGAAACCCAGAGAGGAAATTAGGTAATAGTACTTTTGAGTACTATGACGATGAACTGAAAACAAAATAGGTATGAATTATTGAATGTAAAACCAATGATGTGCTCTGTAAACCTCACTCTAATTCACGATAAAAAGGCTCTTTTAAAAGACATACTAAAAATAAGTAAATACATTTAAAAATAATTTAAATATCGATGTCATTGCTCTTAAACAGTTAAGTGATAACACCAAATCGTGGGTGTATTTTTGTGCATTTACAGATGCTATAGAATCTTGCTCTAGATAACCAAGAATGTTAGGAAGATAAACTAGCTCAAGTATTTCTTTTGACTCTTCATCTACAGAAAATCTGCCTTCTTTAATTTTTGTGAGACTCTGCCTCTTTTCTTTCATTGATGGCAGATGGAATTTTTTCTTTCAAAGAAAAGTGTTTCCTGTATTTCTTTCAGTCTTCACTTCATATATGGAAGTACAATGGGATTCAATTGTTTGTACTAATATATTTACTCTTCAGTTCATATTTTACTGTTTAAAAAAATCTCTGGAGTTTGAGTTACTTTATAATTGAAGCTTGGTTTGTTACTTTTTTCCTATTAAGGATTATATACTTAAGAAAAACTTTCTGGGGGGATTGGGTCAGGAATAAAGAAAAATACTTTCTGAATTAGTGCATTGTTAATCCAATTAATTTTAATGCAGGTATACATCTTTGGGTAGAGAAGCCTCTTTTGGGTGGGAGGGATTTATAATTTTTAAATTCCACATATGTACATTGTGCAAAGTTATAGACCTAGGCTGACTGACCAATACAGAAGCTATTTAAATATAATTAAAACTAAAAATTCAGTTTCTTAATTATACTAACCATATTTCAGATCCCCTTTAGCTATATGTGAATAGTGGCTACCATTTTGGATAGTGCAGCTGTAGAATATTACCATCATCTTAGTAAATACTATTAACATGCTAGTGTAGATTCTAGGGGTACTAAAATATATATATATATATATATAGTCTCTGATTCAATACAGTGAGTGAGTCAGAAAGAGGAGGTCACCTGATCGGAGAAAAATACACAATAAGACCCGATGGTGTTGGGGGAAAGAAAGCTAAGGCCTGGTAGGATTAATATGGATTAATGCATGAATGACAAACCAATTTCTGCTCACTATAGTTTTTTGGAATTTTGGTTTCAGATGTGAAATTCATAATAAGTGAAAAAAATGTAATCATTTAAGGAGCTCTGGTGCTCCTGACCGGAGCCCTGGTGGTATAGGTTACACATTGGGCTGCTAATAATAAGGCCAGCATTTCCAAACCACTAGCTGCTTTCTATTCAGAAATCCTCAGGGGGAAGTTCCACCCAGTCCTATAGGGTGGCTATGCATCAGCATCAACTTGATAAAAATGAACTGTGTTTTTTTTGGTCCGATAGGCATTGTGCTGCCTACCACTAACCTTGTGGTTCAAACCCACCAGCTACTCTGCAGGCAAAAGATGAAGCTCTCTGCTCCCATAAAGATATAATCACAGAAACCCTATATAGAGTTACTAAAAGTCACAGTCAATTTAGTCAGTGTGTTTTTTTTTAACCCTCCATTTAGTGAGAGTTACAAAGCTTAGGACTCAGAGCAATACCAAGTATTTCAGTGCACCACAGTGTTGTAAGTACATTAGCTGAAATCTCTCCTTAATTCTTTTCTAAGGAGCATTCTGGTTCAGCTCTCTCTTTTTTTTATTATCATTTTATTAGGGGCTCATACAACTCTTAACCACAATCCATACATCCATCAATTGTGTAAAGCACATTTGTACATTCATTGTCCTCATCATTCTCAAAACATTTGCTCTCTACCTAAGCCCCTGGCATCAGCTCCTCATTTTATCTCTGGTTCAGCTCTTATCAGACAGATTGGTTTATTTTTCTGGCAGTGCATGATATATTCAATATTCTTCACCAGTACCAGGAATGAAAAGCATAATTCTCAGTCTTATTTATTCTCCAGCTTTGCAGGCATCTGAAGCAGTCAAAAATACCATTGCAGGGGTCAGGCACACCTAGTCCTCAAAGTGACTTTGCTCTGTTACACTGTACTTAAGTCTTTTGCAGCAGATTAGGCCCAGTGCAAGTCTGTCATTTATTTCTTGACTGCTACTTCTATGGAAGATGATTATGGATCCAAGTAAAGTGAAATCGTCGACAACTTCAACGTTTTCTCCTTTGTCATGATGTGAAGACTTTTTATTGTCTATTAATGTTGCGTTGTATTCCAAAGTGATGAAGACTCTTACCTTTGTTCATTAGTAAATGCTTCCAGTCCTTTTAACTTTTAGCAAGTTAGGTTATGTTCTTACCATAGCGAAAGTTATTAGTGAGTCACCTTCCAAATCTGACACCTTGTTCTTTTTTTATAAAGTCCAGATTCTGGGATTTTTTTGCTCAGCAGAAACAATAAGTCTGGTAAAAAGATATAAAACACGGGCATTAACTTTTCCTGATATGAAGGCACTTGGTATTCCCTGACTCTGTTTGAAAGACTGCCTTTTGGTCTTCATACAGGTTCCACATGAGTATAACTAAGTGTTCTGGAATTCCCATTCTTTGCAATGGCATCAAAATTTGATTCACACAGTTGAATGCCTTTGCAGTTTGTTAACACAGGTAAACATCCAATGTCACCATGTCTTTTTCTAATTCCGCTTGATTCTGGCAGTTTCTTGTTGCTTTCTTGATGCATCCGTTTTTGAATTACCCATCAAAATTTTGCGTGTGTGATGTTAATTAAGCTGTCCAATAATTTTTCACTTAGCAAACATGTTATTTAAGGTAGTTATATAAAATGTTAAAATCTGCATTATTTTTGTATCTGTGGATTTTTTTCTAGATAAATTTCTAAAAATGGATTTGCTATATTAAATAGGACTTTTTAATGTTAATCTCAGTAATAGGGAGTC